AGAAAAATTGGGGCTATTAGAAAAAGGGGCGTAGCAGATCCCATACAAACCGATGAATGTTTCATACTGCATGTCCCGGAAGATGTTCATGGAAGAGGAGTCGAGCATGGTATGGAGATATATGAAAGCAATCGCATACTCATGGAGAAATATTGTGGTTATTGGAAAAGGGGGCGTGGCACCTCCCGTACAAAGCGAATATTTCATACTGCATACCTCTGGCAATGTTCACCATAGAGTACTGGAATTTGGTAATTAGGGTGTCCCTATCCTAAAAAAATTTTCTCTATTTTCTTCTTTTAGAATTTTTAGTATTTTGTTATGAAAAATCTAATATATAAAAATATCGTGTGACGGTGTTTGTGGTCGAACTCCTCCGAAACGGCTTGACCGATTTGAATGAACTTTTTGGTATATATACGGTACTAGATTGCAAAGTATGTTTCATACCGCTAAGTGAAGAGGCGTGGCACCTCCCATACAAACCGGATTTTTCATACTGCATATCTCTGGAAGTGTTCATGGTAGAGTACTCGAACATGATATGGAGATATTTGAAATCAATCCCATACTCTTAGAGAACACTGCGGCTATTTTATAGGGGGCCGTTGCGCCTTTTAAACGCACTAAAGCTTTTACGTATCTTTGTATGCATATACACTTTTGCTAGGTTATTTAAGATGGCAATGGATATATGCCTTCTGACAACCACCAAACCATAATATTAGAAGATAAATGCGTCACTGAAAATCATGAACGTGAACTGTTGGTGAAAATTTTGGACCAAAATATTTCAATACAAAAAATTAATTTTGGGCGGGACAAAGTTCGCCGGGTCTGCTAGTATAAAATAATTTATTGCCTTCTGTGTACAATGATGTGTACACTCATGTTAAAATGAATAACAGTTTTATTTTTTATGAACTCTATTTTATTCATATACCAAAATATTGTTTAAAACTAGTTCTCTGGTGATTTAAAGTATTATCTGTTACTTACATTCATAATTTTGCTTTGAATAAAAATGTACTGAAAAGTACTGATTTTTTTAGCATGAAAAAGTCTAATGTACTGATTTCGCGCATAAAAAATCTGGCAACCCTATGCATACCTCTGGAAAAGTTCATAAAGCTGGTACGGAGGTATGTATATAAAATGAATCGCATACTCAAAAGAGAAAAATGGGGTTACTTTTCATGTAATTTTTTCCGCTCAATCTGATTATTTAGTCAAACTATAATAAACTGCAATAGTTTTTGAGATATAGCCAAATTTCGGTTTTTAGAGATGTGAAATAGTGCACTCACTTAATTGTATATTTCCGTTTATATACCTGGCGGAACTTAATTTTCCTTTTTAAAATAGTGAAGAACATTAAATTTACTATGTTCTGCACAACCGATATTTTCCAAACGGATTTGTAGTTTAGGAGCTAATCATTGACTCATCGCTAATTTTGCAAAATTAAAAAAGAATAATAATAAAAAAAGTTACTTCGGTAAAAATGTCAACATAAAACAAGCTGTTAACTTTTGGATTCGTGCACATCAAAGCATGATTCTTCATTAATACAATAAGACCCTGTTCATCTAAATTGAATAATAAACGTAGAAGTTATGAGCACTTAAGTAGAGATACAAATAAAAGTTTCTATACAAATTTATGATTTGCATATTATGGAGTACACACCTTTTACTAAAATTTTGAATCGCTATATCTCAGAAATGGTACTCCTTAGGAAGAAAAATTGTATAACAGTCTTTATAGATAATTGTATGATCTACACTTTCGTACCACCTATTTTTATGATAAACCTTACAGTTTTGCTGGAAAATTGAAAAAATCAATTTGGAATCAACACTTTAGTAAATATTTATCTGCATATTAACTTAGCATCAATTAAAGATATCATCTCTTAAAATTGCGCAGGCTCGAAATTGACTTTAAAGCTATGGTCTGGAGGAATTTTCTTCTTAGAATTTTATGAAAAATCCGAGTCTGCCAAGAAACGATGTCGACAAAAATCGATCCACACAAACTGACCCGCCCTAATGCACATACTTATATGATATTTATATTTTTAATAAACGATGTACATATATTAAATTGAAAACTTTGATTATTCTATTGCTTTAAATTACTGTAAAATTAAAAAATTAGACGTATCACCTTTTCACTTCCAGTTTTCTATATTTGTTTTACGCCCTATTGGAAAATTCCAACCGGAACATATAGAGACAAGTTTTAACAAACTATTTTTTTGTTATTTAATTTATATTAGTTGTTTTAAATAGTGTATTCTGCAATATATAAATAAAATTCAACAAACTTTCGTAAAACTTCAAGTTTTTTTATCAGAATAGTAAAAAAATGTGTGCAGTTTTGTAGCCCATTAAATTTTAGTACAATAAAGTGCAAGTGCGGTTTCTGAAAAATCCTTTGATTGTTAATATTTTTTTCCTAGCGGTGCGGTGCATTTTTGCCATACGAAAAAATTGTACAACGTACCTTTTATGTTTTGTTAAATAGCCTTGATATCTACATAGAGAATGGAAAAACGAAAAATATTAGGAGTATTCTCTAAATCTTGCACCATGCACGGATTGCACGAAATGCAAAAATACTATTCCAAATTACGAAGAGTACGAGAGCACCCCATTGCAAAGTGGTAGCATGCATGGGTAGCAAGCAGCGAAATTATTTATCAAATACAATAACAAGAGACAGCAAAAGAAAATAAAGTGAGCGAGATGAGAGGAATGAGAGAAATATGTAGCAATTCCAACAACAAACAACTAGCACAGGGTCGCATTTATCTTGCTGTGCTATTTTGCAAAATATATACGTGGGTTTCGACGTTGCATATTTTGCAGCAATAGGAAATGTTGTTTCCCATGAATTTTTTGTTGTGTGTTTGCAAGTTATGCAATCCATGCAATCGGTGCTACGTGCAATGGCTTTGCAAGATTTGGAGAATACCCCTGTTGTGTAGGCACAAGTATTGCAAAATCATCAATACGTATATCAAGCTAGCAGACCATGGTCATGGCGCGCAATTCTAACCTATTGGGTATTTAGTTGCTAATTAGTTACACTATTCCCGATTTAGTTCCTCATTCCGTTTAAAAGATACGTGTGATCTGCTAGGTTAAGTCTTAAGCTAGCAGACCATTGCTATATCTCCGGTTCCCGATAAGATATCCGAGTTCTGCAAACGGTATATTTATTTGAAAAAAATATCATTATGTAAATTGCGTGTGGCACACTGAAAAAAAAACGCGTTGTAAGAATAAAAAAAATTTTATTTGATTACCGTTTAAAAATGTTCGTTTTTAAATCAAGTGAAAATTCTTAACAAAATGGATTTTTTCATTATACATACACTACGTATAGTGGAAGTATTCAAATCAAATACGCCCGTATTTGAAATGAAGCATTTTCACTGCACGGATTCTTTTTCATATGTAATTAAGAAAGCAAATGTATACAAAGCGGTGACAACACATACATACATACATATGTACATACATGGTACGACATCATGCACTAATCGCGCGCTGTGATGTTGATTCAAACCCAAGATTTGAAAACACATTTACATGTATGTATTGGTTGCTACCAAGAGCGTCCGGGTTCAATTACCATCAGACGGAACATAAAATTAAATTTTTTTCTTCTTAATTTTAATTTCGTATAACGAAAAAGCTTCTGTGCACTTCGCAACGACATATTTTATAACGTACATTCTCAAATTTAAAACGAGTTGGGTTGGTGCTCTTTCATATGCGTATTTTTTTAAATTTAGCACTTTTTTTTAATTCTAAAATTTTTTTCCCGCAACTGCAAAACTGTCTGGCAATTACAAATTTGTGTTGCTCAAGAAACATAAAAAATATTATTTATCTTAAAATGATTTTAAAATCCGCTATGTCCACCTGTGGAGAGGTATGCGCAACCGTTCCCAGGTGCCAAACCTATGCTCCCGCTCTCTAATTACAATAAGGAAAGAAATGTCAAAAAACCAGCTGACCTAAAATTCTTTCTCGAAAACGTTCATAGCGCTCTTACTATATACCGTTAAATGGATTTTTTAAATTCAATAGATAGTGTAATCATGAAAATATGGTTTATTTTTTAGGTGAGGTCCTCATATTACAAGTATTCAATTGCAAGAGTAGAACGCCCCAATAACATTGAACCAGATCCCAAAAATATTAAAAGATCCACTAGATGCCTATTACTTACACTACTTTTTAGTAGGCGTCGTAACCTACATTGGCCCAGGAGGCTTTCCAACCCAAAGAGACTCCTCGTCAAATGAAAATCAAACTGGCCATTATATGGCTTTCACATACAGAAGGGGATGGAGTTCGACGATTTACAACGAAAAAGTGCAAACAAATCTTCAAAATATAAGGGTTTTCTAAGGTTCTAATGTATGTTAAATTAAATAAATTATAAACTAATAGAAAACTGAAATTGTATAACAACTACGGGGAAAAATTTGTCAAGTGTATTGAATTTATGGCAATATTTTGTTCAAAATCCGCCACGTTGATGTTATAGTAACTGGTAACTGGCGAGTTTAAGCATGCAAATTTCAGCTCTTTTGCTTAGAGCATAGGTGGGCACACCAATACAGTCTCATTTTGTCATGGCCCTGCAGTTTTTCTGGTGGCGATTTCTACTCAAGGACTAGTGATTTAACTAACGCTATGTCTCTACCTACTTCTCAAGGGCATAAGTAATGCATAAAAGCGATAGTTAAAATATTTTCGGTATGCTACTGCTGTTTTTTGTTTGTATCTGGCGCCACTTGCTTGTGTTTTTTGTCTGTTGGTAGAAAGTGTGCCATGGAAAACGAGATTATCCCGTTATTTCTAATTTTTTGTGTACTCATTTTTTCTGAATTTCTCAGTTCAACTGAGTCAGTTGATTTGTCGTGGTTGCAAGCGTCGGTTCAATTGTTGCGTGCAAAAATAATTAAAGTGGGTCAATGAGTAAATATAATTAAATTAACTAAAGTTGTAATAATTTTACTAGAATAAGTTAAAATGAGTAGCAAAAGTTATTTGAGAAGATTGATAAAAGCTGAAAAGGAAAAGTACTTAGAAAAATTGCTGATCGTAGGAAAAGAAAGTGCTAACAGTTCAGAGATAAGTGAAGGCGTACTGAAAACTTTGAAAAATATAATATCTGAAGAAATCACTAGAAATTACAATATAGAAGGCGTTCATGGCAAGAAATCTTTAAAAACCATGGCAAATTTTTATTCTGCACTATTGGGTAAGGAAAAAAACAATTTGTTAAACCGTAAACATATGTATGTTAGTTTGAAAATACGAGCTAATAAACCTCATTTTGTCTTCTTCAGATTCCATTCCTATTAATGAAAATTGCAGCGGATCAGCAGAAACACAGCTTAGAAAAGCAATCCAATTGCAGAAAAAGCGGCATTTTAAAAAGCTAGCAAACACTCGCACCGAATAATTAACATATGTATATGTAAAAGCATAACGCTTACAAAAGTGAATTTATAAATTTATTTTATTTTTATTAATTTATTTTACTTATTTTTTCCGATATACAGTGCCGGACAAAAGTTTTGGCACAGAGAATTTTTCGTAATATATGTAAAGTTTTTCATTCTAATTTATTTTCGAAATTTTTTTTATAAAAATATAGTTCGTACTTCACCAAAGAACATAAAAGCCAAATCTCTAAACTTTGTGCAAAACTCCCGAAAATTAAATAAATTTGCATACTAATTTGCAACTTCCTATTCAGACTTTTTAGAAAAATTCTAAGTATGCAGCTTTATAGCCCATCTAATTTTAGTATAACAAAGTGCAAGTTTGAAGTTGCTAAAAAATCGCGTAGATTTTTGGCTTTTTTTCACTCAGGTTCTTCCATACAAAGTATATTCGACAATTATTTTTTGTATGGAGAACACCTTCCAATAAAAAAAAATGTAAAAAATCAACACGATTTTTTAGGAACTTTAAACTTGCACTTTGTTATACTAAAATTAGATGGGCTATAAAGCTGCATACTACATAGAAAGTAGCAACTTAGTATGCAAATTTATTTAATTTTCCTAAGTTTTGCACAAAGTTTACAGATTTGGTTTTTATGTTTTCTGGTGAAGTACGAACTATATTTTTATAAAAAATTGTCGAAAATAAATTAGAATGAAAAACTTTGCATATATTGCGAAAAATTCTCTGTGGGAAAACTTTAGTCCGGTACTGTATATAAAACTAGTTCATATATATTAAAAATATAATCAAAACCAAAAACAAAAAAATACCACTTAACATGTGAAATGTATTCAATTTTTTTTTAAGACTAAATAAAAATAATTTAACTTGATTTAAAAAAAACAGAAAACTGGTTATAATAATTTGCCCCAGTAGCGAAATTCTTTACTCCTATGGACTGGCGAACTCTTGCTTTCTGTGGCTATGAAATTAGATAACCTTTCGTATTTAGCGAAATTGCTGGACTTCTATGTCTAACTAAATAGTTTATCTTCTGATGCATGTGAAATATATGGTATTTTGGAGTAAGCGAAATAGCTAGTGCGGAGTAATGCAAAGGGGAGACAATTGACCCCTTCGTAGGACATGTCCACGTTAAATTCGACAGTTGAATACATGTAAAGGAGATTGGCGCGGAACTAGTGGTGGTTCTAGGAGGCCAGTATTATCGCTAGTACAGAACTGGCTCCAGTGAACTGCAGGGGGTATTCGTGAATCGCGCTGAGTAACAGTTGCCACTTTTCTATATTGTACAAAAGTGCGTATTTTTTTGCGCGTGTTAGAAAACGCTCTTAAAAATTTATATTTAATTTGTCTTATGAACATGAAACGAAAATAATAAAATATAATAAAAAAATAATGAATAAATAAATACAAATAATGAATTATGAAATTAATTTTTATAAGTACATATGTACGTGCATGAAAAGTTTTTAATTTAATTTCATTAAACTAATGTTTTAAAAAATCATAGTTTATTCAACAACAAAATTCACAAATTAAAAATTTCTAAACTTTGTAAAAAACTCAGTATTCAATAATATTCAGTATTCAATATATACATAAAAACCATTACAAAAAACTTTAAATTGGTTTACACAGTTCGGCAGTTTGACTTTTTTACCACTTCAGCAAAACACATCTTTTTCTGTAGATTTTTTGGTGTTAAATCCAAATCTAGCCGCAGAATTTCTCTAGCGCGTCAGGAGTTTGAGATATCCAAACTTCAAAGTGCCAAAAACACGGTTTTGGCGATATTTGAGGTTATATTATGAAAACAACAAAATTTTTTTGCTCATTTCTACTTAAGGCATCATTTAGTACAACTCTTCCCCTTGAAAATTCATTTTCTCTTGTTGCGATTCGATTTTTCTTTCTCGAGATATACCAGTTTTAATGTGCAGTACTTCGGTATTACTTCGTTAGCATGAGTCATCATAGCTAATACCGAAAAACTGCACATTAAAAATGGTATATCTCGAGAAAGAAAAATCGAATCGCAACAAAAGAAAATGAATTTTCAAGGGGAAGAGTTGTACTAAATGATGCCCTAAGTAGAAATGAGCAAAAAAAATTTGTTGTTTTCATAATATAAACTCAAATATCGCCAAAGCCGTGTTTTTGACGCTTTGAGGTTAGGATTTCTCAAAATTCTGACGTGCTAGAGCAATTCTGCAGCCAGATTTGGATTCATAGCAAAAAAATCTACAAGAAACGATATGTTTCACTCAGGTGGTAAAATTTTGTTGAACTGTGTTATTAAAACACAGAAAGTTAAAAAAGTGTAAAATTAAGATGATTAAAAAATTATGGAGCTGTCGCACGTTGTAATTTCATTACCAACTCTGAAATATCTATTTCATCTTGATACAATTTTATTAGCATCAAATCTTTGAGATGCTGGTCCGATAGACGGTTTCCGTTCGCATGGGAATGCAACGACTCTACGGATAGAAATTCTTCATAAGTATTGAAGTATTTATCTGTTGTGCTTACGTAAATAATTAATTGGCATATGTCGTTAATATCAGTGCTTTCATCTAAACAAATAGAGAAATATTTACAGTTTAACACCCTCTCTTTGGTTTTTGATTGAATGAAAGCACTGATTTTCTCTGTATGTCGAGCTATTGTCCTGCGATACAGGCAAATTTCATTGTACTTTTCAATCATTTTTTTCCCATCGTTCCCAAAACATTTAAGTACCTCCGTACTTAGATCTTTAAAAAAAAATTCCGTCTTCAAAAGGCCTACATTGCTTAGCCAAAGCCATGGTTACTACGAATGATGCTTTTAAATGAGATATACTTTCATTATTTTTAGCTGATTCGACGGATGTCGTAGGTCCGCTTTCGTCAGTTTGATAATATGAAAGCATTTTCAGCTCATCGAGAAGTTGCTCGCGGTCATCACCTTCATATTTTTCATATTCCGGATGGAATGACAAATAATGTCGCCTTATATTAAAAGTACGATTCCAAGTAGTCGTATTACCACATAACAAGCATTGGCATTATTGGCTTTGTTTAAAACCAAAAACCGTAATTGGCACTCATACTCAGACATTTTGGGCATTGTTACATATATAGGTGGCAACCACGCGCTAAAATTACGAATAAAAATATTCAAGGGCGAAGCGTAGTGTCACTCTCATGAAATCTGAAAGCAGACTGAATTGAAATTCGCTGCGTCGTTTCTGTATACGTATAAGCGCTGCGACGCAGACTCTACTCGCGAGTAGCGTTTTGCCCATCATTGGCTTAGAGTCACAAGATTTCTTAAAATTCTTATCTCATTTCACACTTATGATAGAGAATCAAAAATTGCTGACCTACTAGAACTCTTTCCGTGGTTTTTGGTGGAAACCATAATTTGTAGCAAATTTTTTTTTTACATTTGCAATAAAAAATTTTTAATTTTTTTATACAGTGTACCACTTTTGTTTTTCGCAAATGGCTTATTTTCTAAGCTTTCAAACTATATATGTATAATTTGTATTGGGCGTTTTTTCATCATAGAATGCACTCGGTTCCGCCTTGCATTTTTGTCGACAATAACACAGGTTTACAGATATGAAAAAATTTTCCGACCAGCGATATCAGTTTGCTATCCATTATACGAGCGCAGTCACATGGAGTGCAATGGGGTATAGTTGCATGGCTATACTCAATCCCGACTCTTGCGTCCTCGTTCGCGCACTCTGGGCAACGTGAGCAACCCATGTGCGAGATGCGGTAACCAATCCGAGTGGAGCCTTGGGTCACGGCAGAAAGAGAGGGAGCTTCGGTGGGGCCACTCTGACTTATTCGGTTTAAGGGCTCACTGAAGTCTGCAGCGTCTGTTCACCAGTAGGTGCGGCTGCAAGCGGGTGTCTGCTTGGAGCAAGCGGCTCGCTATATAAACGTGTATTTGATTGCGAAACCACCCCCGTCCCAGCAATGGGTTGTGCGCTGGGCTTGGGACCCGCCACGTAAAAACCACTTCCAGTGAAGAAGCAAGGCAAAGCCTCGGATGAGACCCCCCCTTATGATGACAACCACGGCAAACGTTTAAAGGACTACGATTTGAGGGCATGCACCTGGAATGTCCGGACCCTTAATGGGGAAGGTGCCTCTGCCCGGCTGGTTGATGTCCTCGTAAGGACAAAAGCTGACATCACCGCCATCCAAGAAATGCGTTGGAC